TAATTATAACTAATATATATACAATATATATTAAAAAATAATATGTATATATATATATATATTATTTATAATGTAATTTATAATATATATATATATATATGTGTGTGTGTTTTATTAGTTATAAGTAATTTTATATTTAATATATATATATTATATATATATATGAATTTATATGTATATAAATTAATTTAAATAAATTATATAATTTATTTTTGTTTGAAATGATGATGTGTCATAATTTTGATGATGTGTATATAACTTGGAAGCCAAGTCATTGCCACATCATCATTTTTATTTGAGTTGGCAGACGCGAGAGGTTTTCAGTAAATTATTAACAAGTTTGGGGTTTTATTAGTTAATCATACCAAGTATATGATTTAATTGGTAAGCAAAAAAATATAAGATTTTTTCATTGACCTGGTAAAAATACAAGGTTTTTATAGCGATTTTACCTTATAAAAAAGTTACAAGTTGTTGCCACAATATATATCAGTAAGGAACAATATGGTCCATAAATGGCAGTTCCATATAAAGACAAGAGAGTTTCATAAGAAACATAACGCATGATTCCGCAGTCTTATCTTTACCCAAACCAAAAAAAAAAAAAAGTCCACAAGAGTGAGTTGGTGTCACTCTCCTGCGAAGAAAACGACGTTTGGGGCTCAATGGTCAAATCTTTCAAACCCGCTGTCCTGAGTTTTGGCGGTGCGACGCAGACGACCGACCGACCATAGATTTCATTTGCTTTTCACTCTCATGTTAATTTGAAAACAAGAAACAAAAACAAATACGTACACTGCGTCTACTAATATCTATACATTTCAGAGAAAAACATAGGAAAATTAGAAAAATAACACTTCAATTTTTCAAAATAAAATCCGAACTATTCCCAACTAAACCCTGAATCCTGCTGATTTCTAATATTTTTCACAAATAAATTCGAATTTTCAGAATTATATCATATTTAACCTTTAATGTTGATATAGCGTTTTAAAATTCGATCGAAATCAGGAATGTACGTCATCATTTAAAAACATTACGTGGTTAAATATAACATAATTTTGAATTTATGGAAAACACTAGAATTTAGGGGGATTGGAGATTTATTTGACAAAAAAAATTAATTCGAATTTTATTTTGGTAAATTTGAAAAATGAAGGTATTATTTTTTCTAATTTCTCAAAAGTATAATTATAATTACGGATATAACTCTTTATAAAAAAAATACGGATATAACTCAAAAAAAGAGGGAGAAATAACAGCAAGAAATAATGGGCCAAAGGCCGAGAAAACGTCAGTGGACTAACTTTATCATACGACCATTAAAGAATAACAACAACAATGGATCCGGTTTTATTGGGCCTTTGGCCCATAAGCGACCCAAGCCCATGACCAGTTGAAATAGTCCACGATGTTTCTTGGGAGTGAAGGAACTCGGTTGGTATCTTGGACAGGGAGATTCGAAAGAGAGACAGATGATAGTTGATGGTTTCGTGACCGGCAAGTCACCGGTACAACCAACGGGCGGAATTCTCCGACCACGTCTTTATGGACCGTACACATGTTTGTTAAACTAAATTATCTACTTTTTGAAATTCCCAATTTAGTATATAATTAAAATGTCACACCATGGAAGATAAAACCTTGGCGCCAATATGATATATGCACATTTAAATAATATTAAAACCCATATTTTACTTAATAATATATTGTTATGGTCACACACCATGGAAAATAGTGCATGTATTTTTAACGCTGATCCAAATACCAAAAATATTTTTTGTTAAAAATAAAATAAATAAAAAAACATTTTCTTTTTTCTTTTTTTTGAAAGAGAAATTAAAATTACAGCTTATGACAACGAAGGCGAAATTTCAAAATTATATTATTAATATAATATTTTAAAAAGGCAAAAGGAACCTTGCCGACTTTCTCTCTTGGCCTCTTGGCTCTTGCAACCTATTTCTTTTTTTTTTTTTCCTCCGAATATTTTCATTTTTTAATTTCTTCTTTGATTTTAGTTTCCCCCTTTCCTTTTTCCTCCGATTCAATCGCTCGATTCCGACAAGCCCCACCGATTTCTTCGGCGAAGAGACGGTCATTTCTCCGATGGCGCGCCGTCTTTTCGCCTGCTTCGGCGGGAGAGGGTCTTCCACGTCCGCCGGTAACAACGCCGCCGTCGTCGCCGCCGATGTTCCGTTTTATATATATATATATGTATGTATGTATATATTGGTCCAATGCGCATCTCTTTTAAGTTTTAACTGGCGGGAGAGGGTCTTCCACGTCCGCCGGTAACAACGCCGCCGTCGTCGCCGCAGATGTTCCGGCCGGAGACGGGCCCGTCCTGGTCCAGTTATTCTCGTCGCAGGGGTGCAAGACGTCGCCTGAGGCAGAGATGATGGTGTCGCGGCTCGGCCGCGGCGATTTCGACGGACAGACCGGCGGGGGATCTGGTTCTTCTCCGGTGGTTGTGCTGGTCTTTCACGTTGATTATTGGGATTACATGGGATGGAAGGATCCGTACGGATCGAGCCAGTGGACGGTTAGGCAAAAGGCGTATGTCGAGGCGCTGAGATTGGACACCATGTTTACTCCGCAGGTTGTGGTCCAGGGACGAGCCCAATGTGTCGGAAACGAGGAGGAGACTATTCTGAAGACGATCGTCGACGCGCCTAGGTTCCCTTCTCCGGCTTTTCGGGTGAGTATCTTACGATTTCAAGCGTTAGTTCGTTGTCCATTGATGAGTGTGTGTGGAACGTTTCCATGTTAGATTGGTTTATGGGTCTGATTACGGAGAGTCCACCTACGGAGAACAGTTCAAGTATTTTGTCTTGTGTTCACAGAATGTCGGAGAAAATAGGAAATGGCGTGAATGTTGGAAGCTTCCATACCGTTAGTATCTAGTAAATATTGCTGATAGCTTGGTTTCTGGGACTTTGTCTTGATCATACCCTGTTTTGTCCAAACATCTATAGAAAATTTTGGCTCGAATTCAGCAATTGGTCGTGCAGTAACCATCTCCGGTGGTTTAGCTATATGTCATTGGCATTCCACGATCGAGAACTCATCCACAAATCTCTCATTCAGATGGTTTGTTTCAACCTTCAAGCAATGTGGATTCCTTTAGTCTCAGACATATCAAATCAATCTTATTTAGCTAACATAACAATGTAGGCATCGAAACATCATCCCTTAGATGCTTAAAATGCCGTGTTTGCTCCACCTCATCTCCCTTCTTGGGGGAGGTTATGTCTCTCTGGTTAATTGGTGATAGGAAAATGAAGCTGTGGATCTGGATGTTGGGGCATAGGTAAAGTTGTATGTCACTGAAGGTTAGTTTCCTAATATCGGATTGAATTTTCGCTTATCAACATCATCGTGGCACGGTCGGTCATTGGATTTCCATGTGAGGGCGAGGGCCGGAATATATTTTGAAAACCCATTTCTTGTTGCCCCCAAAGGAGAGTGTTTTGCCTGAAAAAGCTTCTTATTTCTTGACCATTTTTGGCATTCTTGTGTGTTGGGTGGGGGATTTCCTATATGGAGTTCACAATCTCGAATCGAATTTTGTTTGTTCGCTCTTATTCAGGCAACTTTCCAGAGACCAACCTCGGAAACCCTGCAAGTGTCTCTTACGGGACCACTGCGTACGAAAGCAGACAGCAACGGGATCGATGTGATGGTGGCGTTATACGAGAACGGCCTTGTGAAGGATTGCCCTCGAGGAGAAAACAGAGGAAGAGTCCTGTCCAACGACCATGTCGTGAGAAAGCTCGAGAAGCTCTGCACTGTCAAGGACATGTCGGCGAAGAAGACAGTGTCCGGGACGGCACACTTCACCCTCTGGGACGGATTCAACTGCTCGAAATGCGGAGTTGCCGTCTTTCTCCAGAACAGCTCTCTTCAGATCTTTGGCACGCAGAATTTTCAGCTGCCTGATGAGATTTGAGATCGAAAACGCTCTGCCGTGGATTCAATCATTTCCTTAATGGTTTATTTCTTGACATAGATGTACATAGAGATGTGGTGTGGCTCTTCTTTGTTAGTAGGATGGTTTCCTTATGTTCAGATTTGGGTTTTCCAAAAGTGATATCAGTCCATTTTTATACTAAATTTGATCCCATTTGAGCATTTTTAATTCAATTTGGATGTGGTTTTTATTTATAAATATGTTTTTTTTAATGTTTTCCCATAAATTTAGGTTTAAGTTCGTTTTTTTTCAGATTTTCCCATTAATAAATTATATATATTAAATTCCTGTACAAGGAATTTTCTTTGGACTATATATATAATGGTAATATTGCTTAATTACTTAATAATAAAATAACGTTTTGTGGAATAGAGTAGAATTTATAGAAATGAAAATTTTCAAATTGAATTGCAAGAACAGGTTGTTATGATACGCAACGTTTGTAAATTACTGTAATTTAATCGCGAAATAATAAAATAACGTAATATTATTAATAAAACCATTATCACGGAAGAAGAAAAAAAATTCAAGTTTTGAATGGATAGTTTAAAATATTCGTTGGACATGTTGATTGATTATATTATTGATTTACGTGATCGGAGAGTCAAGGACACAGAAAAAACAAAAGGACGAGAAATTAAAAACGTGGTACGGTCATGTTCTTTTTCAATACCTTTAATTTATATAAATAAATTTCTCATTATTTCTTTTACATATATGTACATATATATATATATATATATATATATATTCGGCACGGTAAATCAATTACCAAATTCCATTGCCACCAAACAATAACGTTTCAAATCGACCTTTGTAAGATGATACAATCACACTTGGGATTTTAAAAACGCCATTATTAAATCCTAGAGGATAAAAAAAAGACTGAATTTTTAGAAATACATCACTCCAAAAAACATTATATAGGCTAAATTTCCGTATATGTAATGGATAAATTTAAATCAAAATGACACAAAAAATCTACGGTTTCAGATTTTTCAACGAGGAATTTAATTTCTCAACGACCCACCAAACTCATTTTACTGGTCTATAAATGCCAACAGAAATATATGTCACACCACTTAAATTTTTCTTAGCCTTACATATTATTTTTCAGTCAATAATCAAATATTTGTAGGGTCACTGGTAGAACCTACCCATTTTGGCTTTAACTTGATGTAAAAAAAAAATTAATCGAATTAATATATCCTTTTTTTCCAAAAAAATTAAAATAAAAGAAAATCAAATGGGCCTCATAAGGTTGTACATTTGTGCCGAAATAGCCCTTTGACTTTGGTTTGTCAAAACCGGAAGGTACAAGTAAGACATGCGCGGACTTCACGGGAACATGTAATTATAAAATAAAAAAGCATCTGAAATCCGAATGAAAGAGTTTTAAACTCGCGACTCGCGCAGAGTTCTTCGGAATTCACAGAGCCTCTTCCTTGTTCTTCTCTCATTCCATCGATCGAGTCCTGTTCTTCTGATGCAGAGAGACCGACAAAGAGGGCATCGTCGGAATTTTTTGTTCTCCGGTCGCCGCCGGTTCTTCTGATGGCGATCTTGGACCGGCAGAAGCCGCGCTCCGACAAGAAACTGCTCAGGTTTTGTCCGTTTTGGAGGATGGGAAGAACTTCCTCGTCTTCGTCGTCTATGCAGCACCTCAACAACATTAACTACAGTGGCCGCCATGGCAATCGAAATCCGGAGGTTTCCGGCTGCTCCAGGCCATCCTCCGCCTTGACTGTCTCCTCCGTCGCCAGATCACTCCTCCCCCGTCGCCGTCGTCTCCGGCTAGATCCTTCCAGTTACCTCTATTTTCCTTGTACGTTTACGTTCCTTTCTCCAAACTTGCTTGATTTGGGTTTGATCCTTTTTGGGGTTCGAGCTGGGAGGTGAAATTGTTGTTTTAGGGAATTCGAATTGAAGAACAATTTAGTTCGTACGCCGAAATCGTTGAATCTTTCGCCCGGTGGAAATGTATTCGTGTTCTCGAACTTGAATTGATTAAAAACCCTACTTGCTTCGTAGATGAACCTGGTAAACAGGTACGGAGCGCGATCAAACTGAAGAACACAAGCAAATCTCATACTGCATTTAAGGTAATGGATCATTTTGGCAATACAAGTAATAATAGTCTTCCCACAAATTCTATCCATTGGCTTGTCACTAAGTGATGCAAGTGGCCTGTTTCCATATTCAGCGCATTACCTTTGCCCATTGGGTTTCGCATTTTGGTATTGGTTGGTTGAGTGGCATCTGTGTATGTGTTTCCTTATCTTGACCGACATAGTGAGTAGGCTAAGTAAATGCGTAGTTATTGCTGGGAATTTGACTTGTAGTTGACTGTTTTTTTTTCTCTATTTGCAGCTAAGCCCCCGTCAATCTTTGTTGTGGTGTTTTTTTTTATTGTCTAATTGGTGTGTTTCTGCTTGTCTAGTTTCAAACAACGGCACCAAAGAGTTGTTACATGCGTCCTCCCGGTGGGATCTTGGCTCCGGGAGAGAGTATTATCGCTACCGGTAATGAAACTCTGGAAAAAACAGGTTGTGTTCTTGTGGGGGTTTCCCTCTTTTCAGAATGTTTTTCTGATGATTTCTCCTGGAAATGTTCGAGTGTAGTGTTCAAGTTTGTGGAACAGCCAGAAAACAATGAAAAACAGCAGCTGGACCAGAAGAGCAAGGTTAAGTTTAAGATTTTGAGCCTGAAGGTGAAACCAGGAATGGAGTTTGTGCCTGAGCTGGTATGTTTTGTTACTCCTTACACATCTTTTGTCATCGGTATAGTTCTGTTGTCACTCGTTTCAGACCCAAAGCGTTTTCTTTGTTGGTCTTGTCTAATGTTAAGATGTGTCTACTGCTTAATCTTGTAGTGTACATATACATATATATATATATATATATATATATATATATATAGCTGGCTCTGCCTGACTATAGTGTATGTAATCATTGATTTCTCACAGTTTGATGAGCAAAGGGATGAAGTAACGGTAGAGCGAATCCTACGCGTCATCTTTCTTGACGTAGAGCGCCCGAGCCATGTAAGTTTTTCGGTGTTTTTGCTAATAAGAAGAGATTGGTGACTATATATATACGAGTCTTTCAGTGGAAAAAAAGTTGCTTTTGTTTTATTTATCAGGCATTGGATAAACTGAAGCGCCAACTGGCAGAAGCCGAAGCCGCACTGGAAGCTCGGATGAAGAAGCCTCCTCCAGATACAGGTCCTCGTGTTGTCGGTGACGGTCTTGTGATAGATGAGTGGGTATGTGTAAAGATTCATACTCTGGTCCATTTTCTTTCCTCCTCCTCGAGATATATACGCTCTGCTCACCGAAAGTTCTCATCTTTCAGAAGGAGAGAAGGGAGAAGTACCTTGCGAGGCAACAGGTCGAAGCCGTAGATTCATCCTAAAACACGAGGGCGAGCTCTTCTCGAATGAAATAACGCGGAAACTCGGTCTGAATTCGCCCGAGTGCAGGCGAATGAGTTTTGACAGTTACCCGATTAGCTGCGTTTCGATTAGATTTCCAGTGGTAAGGCAGCCTGCAGAGATATCTATCACTTGCTCCTTCCCTTTGGCTGTGTCTGTGTGTGTGTATATAACTCTCTCCCTTCTTTGTTTTTTTCCTCCTCGGCCATGGAAATAAACCTTAGAATGGAATTGGGGCATATCGTCAAAATCAAAGCATGGGTTGTGTCTTGTCTTTGTTTGTTTTTTTTTTCTCGTCTGTGTTTCTGTGTTTTGTGTAGTTTGTGATTCACTTGGGTTTGCATTATTCTTAAATTATCATTTTTCCAATTTATATATATATTTTTTAAATTTAATAGTGACGTGGGAAATGGCATAACATAAGGGACAATCATTTGACTACACTGCACACTTTTCGACTTGTTAATTCAATTTTTGTCACTGGGACCTCGTGTCAACGGTTAATTTTAGATTATCTTAAAGGCTGGTGTATTTTTATTTGATAACCTAAAAATTCGGGATATTTTTTGGTAAATTAAAAAAGTTATGTATTTTTTAACACGCGTTTTAATTTTTATCGAGTTTTCTCCATTTGTTTATTACGATTTACAAGAACTTCCGCTTAACTCCAGTAAATGATACAATTTTTTTTAAAAAAAAAGAATTGAAATATAAAAAAAAAACAAATGGGGAGCGATTCAAGGCATACAGCAACAGTACTTGTTATATATATATATATAAATAATACCGGAGGTGATGAGATCACTCGTGCGGCCATTAACATGGGAAACGGTCAGCAGAATTGCACGACAGGTTGCAACAAATATCCTGGAGGAGGAGTCCATTTATTCAAAACCCTAAACCCTCTCTTCCACACTTGCCGATTTTATTATTATTTTAAATATATATATATATATATATACAATTTTCAAATTATTATTTAATAAGCCTACAAGGGAATTCATCTATTTATAATCCCATAACAAAACAAACACTGGTGTACATTTATCTGGAATTTTTAGGAATTAAACCGTTTAAGAAAATTAGTAAAGTGTATCTTTTGTGCCTTGTAAGGAAAGAAACGAATTCAAATTATAATTTAATACTTTCCTATAAAAGATAAAGGTTATCGGTTCATTTATAATCCGATAAGATGGAAACCATATAATAAAATTTCCTTTTTATTCTATATACATTTATCCTAACATTTTTATGGTTTAAACCATTTAGGAAAGTTAGGAAAAATATGTCCTTTTTTTCCCCAATGCGATAATTTAGAAAATGTCATCATTTTTTTTAAGAGTATTAAATATTTGTCTCTAATTTAATATGATTTCTCAAAGAACCCTTAGAAACCGGAATTTGGATGGTTTCTGTGACGCTCTAATTCCAAGGACGTAGAGACCATTCACATGACTTGACTTCGACACCATGTTTTTGTTTTTTAATCATATATATCATCACAGTCTCTAAGCAAAATTTCAAAAACACATCTATCTGAATATTTTAGGGTTTTAAATCTTTTAAAAAAAAAATTAAAAAGATAGGTTTTTTTTTAACACCCATACTCTATATTTGGAAAAGTTTTATCCTGAAAACAAATATATGCTTCCCACCGTAGTCTAGCCGTGGTGGAATAGTGATAACTGACTAACTGTAATTATAAAATAAAATAAAAAATAAAAAGTTAGAGCCCGTGAACGGCAGGATTCGAACCTGCGCGGGCAGAGCCCACATGATTTCTAGTCATGCCCGATAACCACTCCGGCACGTCCACCCATTTATAGCTTCGAGGATAATTAAATTTCAGAGACGATAACAAATACCCTTATTCGTTTGCTTAGTACATGATAAGATATTAATGATTAGATTAATTATTAAAATAACTCAATCTACTAACAATAATTCAAGAAATAATTTTATCATATTATATGTATATATATAAACAGACAGAACACTAGATATCGACTGAACATGTAAAAATCATGTGAAAAAAACCATTTGATTATATTATTTTTGGATTTGTATAAAAATTTCATTGAAAAACATATCATAAAATAACTTTATGATAAAAAAATTGCTACATAACATAAAGATAACATGTTAATCACCATTTTTTAAAAAGATAAAATGTATATTTTACAAAACAAAGGGTAACAATAGTGTTTGAAATTATGGGTCTTCAACGCCAGCATAAAGTAGCCTATGATTAGCTAAAATATAAACCCAATTATGAATAAAATAAAATATCTGAAAAATAAAATAAAAAGAGATCATAAAAAAATAGAGTGGCAGAAGTAAAATGTTTGTGTTTTTAATATACGATTAAAAAAATTACCAAGGCCAAAACTAAATATTAAAAAATCGAATTTTAAATTAATAAGATTATATATTATATTTGGGCACTCTTATAATATGTGCGAAACATATTAATAAATTCACATTTTTTGTTTTTTAAAATATATATTTTAACTCTTAAATATTTTCAATATAGCTTTATATGAGTATTAACTGTTTGGTGTAAAAGATAACTCATAATCAAACCAAAGAAATGTCCTAAAAATAAACCCCAAGTTGTGGCGTCAATGAGGCCCAATTAGGTAGTTCTACTTTTTATTAATGGGCTCACTAATGGGCTTTGATTTGACCTCATTATTAGCCCATTTCTTCTTCTCCACGTCATCAATTGGTCCATCCGGTCTGACTTTTGGTAACAATGTTCGAAGATTCTTTTCCAAATATTAAATCGATACGTGAAAATGCCGAAGTTGGTTCGATTCCGAACCATTTAATCTGGTTATGAGATATTAAATTAATATGAATTCGATTATCAAATATCGAGAATATATATTATTAAAGCTTCTATAATCTTTTTTAATCATATCTAAACGCATATTCCGTCGCAATGTTTAATGGAAAAAAAGAACATGTATAATTACGATCGTGGTGGTAATCGGATAAGAAAGATTTGATTGGATATTTGCAGAAATATTAAATAAACAAATGTCTGAGAATGGGCAGACAAAGTGGAATATTCATTGTGTATGTCCGAAGATATTGTCAAGGGCACTATTTCATATCATGATATATATATATATATGATATGATATTTATGTACTCAAATATATATGTGTATGTATCTGTTAATTGGTTAATATTCTGTATTTAATATACGCAAAAAGAAATTCATGAAATTTCCTCAAATTCCAGCATGAATTAGGTCACATACGTAATGGATATCCAACCAACCAAATCTTGCATGGTTTAATTAAATAACTCTGCCACAGATTTTTGTATTATTTGCAAAATTGACTCCCTCGTGCTACGAATTTACCCTTTTGCCCCTAAGCGAGCTTCCCAGAAGGGAGGATTTCCCCGGTTTCCCAGACACGGACCCGGCCTTCCGTCCCCATTATCTGTACCTTAGTTGGGTTCCATGGCGGTTCCTTCTCGGAAAATCACCTACAAATTTCTCCTTTATATACACTTCCTCCGAACTCATCTCCCATTCAATCCCTCTCGATTTCAATTCAGACAACTCCGTACAAAAAGCTTCGACGACTCCGCTCCAATGGCGTCTCCGAAATCATCTGCGAGACCGACCCAGCAAAACCCAGAAGCCAATTTCCACGATTTCTTACCAACCATGGCGAGCAAGCTCGGCGGGGAGGCGCTGATCGGCGAGCTCTGCAAAGGGTTCGAGCTCCTTATGGACGGCGACAGAGGCGTCATCACTTTCGAGAGTCTCCGGCGTAACGCCGCGGCGGTTCTAGGGCTCGGAGAACTTTCCGACGAAGATGTCCGGTGTATGATCAGGGAAGGCGACTTCGACCGCGACGGAGCGTTGAATCGGATGGAGTTTTGCGTTCTCATGTTTAGGCTCAGCCCCGATCTGATGGAGGCTTCTCGGTGGTTGGTCGAGGAGGCGATTGAGGAGGAGTGCGTGAAATCCACGCGCCGGCATTGATCTGGAAACCCGTCTGGATGAGTCCGATGGTTTCGATTGACTGATTCTTTTTTTTTTTTAATTTTTACCTTTTCCCTTATTCCATCGTTGTTATTGCTTGACAAATATTTATTGGAAATTATACTTTTTTTTATGGGGAAATGAAAAAAAAAAGTACATTTGGAAAGTGAAGCATCCGTGAATTGCAAGTCATGAATGAATGGCATTGTCGGGGACATGAATGTTTCTGATGTTTCAAGAAATGTCCTCCCTTATTATTACAAGACATGATTTCAATCCCAATGAATTCGATATAATGAAATATAAATAAATAAAAAATGTTCAACCCTTTATTTTTCACAACCTCGTTACAAAAAAAAATATGACAAATCAGTTTATGTTTATGGGTGTGTATATATATATAATATCATGTATTTTTGCATTAGTTCTATCATCCTAAACATTTTACCCATAAATCTCGAAAATTTCGTAAGAATCATAATTTATAGGTGCGGCTGTGCCACCGCGTTAGGGTTGACATATATGTCAATAACGCGAAGAGTATATTAATTTTTACCCACATTCACACTTGGTTTGACATTTATTTTAAAATTTAATTAATAATGTGAAATAGTTAAAACACCATTATGATAATATTGGTTTTGGAAAATGACATCTTCTAGAGAAACATTGTCGCAGAAAAAAAAAAAGACACTCCTTTTATGAAGATGACTGTGATGAGCAACATAACATCATTGCTGTTTTTTAATCATTTTAATTAAGAAATTAAAAATAACATTAAGCCCCCCCCCCCCCAAAAAAAAAACAATACACACAATCTAAAGTTGAATTTGAATTAATAATAAATTAACGAGCAAAATAAAAAATTCAAAATAACCCCTCAATACTTCTTTATAATTTTGTGTCCAAATTATTTCTATCATTTCTCTATCCATTTCACACAGCCATCAAAATCTTTATTAGCATCTCAGGATTGGAGAGTTATCCGATTGAGTTTTAACAATTCGGATAATTAAGGCGGTTTATTTAACTTTTATATATTAGTTTATGAGTTCTAGAGAATTGAGTTTATAGAGCTGAATTTTTATTAAATATCGAAACTTAAAATTATAAACTTTTAAGGGTTTAAATACTTGATGCCAATTAACCATTGAGTACAAAAATTAATTATTTGATCGAATTAATAATGGTAATTCTATAACTGATAACCAATTAAAAACATAGATGGTAATGTGATTATATCGATTTGGTATAACTCAATCATTCATTTGATTTAACACAAATCAAAACAATAATTATTATAATTGTATATTTTTCGTTGATTATCCTTGCATTATAATTCATAAGTCGAAGTAACCGCGAAATGATCATATTAGAGTGTAGAACCGTGAATCAACGTCGGGGGTGTTTTGGAACTAATGAAAGAAAAGGAGAGATATATAAATTTTCCAATTTGTAGGGGTTGACTTGAAAACATCGAAGGAAAATCCATATTTTATCTGGGATTAAAAATAAAGAATCCAAGCCATTTTTTGTCTTCTATATATACGCGCACTCCGTATTCTGATCTTCGTACATTTCCCCAGAATAATATTAGGAAAAAGATTTTGAAAAGAGAAGGGAAGAACCTCCGGCGATTCGTGAACTGACGGCGGACACGACGTTTCCATGGCGACGAAAGTGTATATTGTGTATGTGATTTTTTTTCTCAGTTCGAACATTGGCTACATGTGCGATTATTGATTTGTCAAGCTGTTCGTGTTTTTCTCTGATTCACTGTAGTGACAATTGTTCTGTGATTTGTTTTTTTTTTCCCACTGTCGACGGAAATTTTTCCTTGTTCTAGAGATTTCTCTGGTGATTTATGCTACTGCAGCCGCTTGGCGTGGTTATATACGGTGTCTGATCGATGTTTTGCTTTCTCTGCGATTTGTCATCGAGATTTGATTTTGTTTTTTTAAATTTGTAGTTCATCCTCTGGGTTCTTGGCGATTTGGTGTCCCTTGCTCTACTTTTGTCTTGGCTTGATGCGTGATTTTCCTTAAAACTCTGCTAATTGGGGTGAAGGCATTCGCCTTTAGCGTGACGTGATTTTGCTTTGTTCTTGGTTTTTTGAAACGCTTTCGATCTCTGTTCACGTATTCCCTCTGATCTGATATAATGCCTTGCGCCTAGAAACGATTGTACCTCCATCTAACTAAAACCCAGGCTGGGGAACACAGGAACAGATGACCTGCTTATGTGTGTGAACAGTGAACAGCCCTCGAGTCTCTTACTGTTTCTTTATGGATGGGTGCGAGAGACCAGACATGAGATAGCATTTGATCTTTGTAACAGGTTTTACTCCATGTACGGCCATGTCGAGAAATTGGCAGAGGAGATAAAGAAAGGGGCTGCATCTGTTGAAGGTGTTGAAGCCAAACTATGGCAGGTTCATGCTTAACTATGTTTAACAAAACTGCCTTGTATAGAGATTGTGTTTGCATTGTGAATTTCACCAGCATCAATGGCTTCTTAGGTGTCAATTAGAGATTAGTTTTTGGGATACAACTGGCTGCAAATCCCGAAAATACCGCTGAGATAAGATTTTAGATTTTCTCTGCTATTAATATTGCAGTTTACAGATTTTCCTTCTGTATAAGTTATTGGTGAGAAAATCCGTCTTACACTTGTTTTTCCGGTTCTGTCTCATCCGATAATCTGATTTGAAAATCACAGACAAGAACTGTGAGCACAACTTACAATCACAAGTTATCTCTATGGATCACTGGAAGCATTTAAGAATTGAACAGACTGTTCTTGATCTTGACAGGTACCCGAGACACTTCCTGAAGAGGTTATCGCAAAAATGAGCGCACCACCAAAGAGTGACGTCCCGATTATTACCCCGAACGAGCTTGCTGAGGCCGATGGACTCATCTTCGGTTTTCCTACAAGGTTTGGCATGATGGCTGCTCAGTTCAAAGCGTTCTTGGACGCGACAGGAGGACTATGGAGGACTCAGCAACTCGCCGGTAAACCAGCCGGCATCTTCTACAGCACCGGGTCTCAAGGTGGTGGCCAGGAAACCACTGCGTAAGTTCTTTTGCGTAATGGTCCAGACCAAGAACTCGAGTTGAGGTTCTTGTCCATGTAATGAACAAAAAGGGTTGTTTTTTTTTGTAGATTGACGGCGATAACTCAGCTGGTGCACCACGGGATGATATATGTCCCGATAGGGTACACGTTCGGGGCGGGGATGTTCGAGATGGGGAAAGTGAAAGGAGGGAGTCCGTACGGAGCAGGGACATACGCGGGAGATGGTTCGAGACAGCCGTCGGAACTGGAGCTGGAACAAGCCTTTCACCAAGGCAAGTACATCGCCACCATTGCCAAGAAACTCAAAGTTGCTTCTGCTTAAGAAACACAAGTAAGTCTCTGGTTTGGTATCTGGGTTTCTTATAATTCTTTGATGGGGAAATCTATTATTTGCATTGTGTGGTTTTTCGTCTTTTGTTATCATTATTATTATCCACACTACATTACTAATTACTTGGGAGCAATAGTTCTTGCCCTGAGTCATATATATTTAGTATTGATGATGACGATGATCAGTTGAGATTATGTTGAAAACGAAGATCATAAGCTGAAACGTCAAAAACGATGTACCGATAAGTATTGCCATATATATATAAAGGCCCATTTTCAAGGGTAAGTGACCCATTTTATATATATATATATGTATGTATGTATATATTGGTCCAATGCGCATCTCTTTTAAGTTTTAACTAGGCTGCGTTTGGTCATGTAGGATTATGTTTTTTGTTCATCGGATGGAATGAGCGGAGACTTCTCCCTTAAACATAAAACGAAAAATATATAATTATATTCGAATAAATCTGTTCTAAAAATTATTTAGATCTCTTTTTCTATTTATGAAATTCAACTATCTAGATTCGAAAGAGCGACAAAAAATGACGGAATTAAAGCAACTAATTTTAGAAAGTTGATATTCTTTTTAATAAAATTCGAACCCGAACCGAATCAATATCCGCACGTAAAATCAAACGGGTATAGTTTTTCAAAACCAAAGAAAAAATCTTATGAATCTGAAAATTATCTAATGGGAATCGAATTCCAAACATGAAAATATTAGCCCCACCTTCATTCCTCGAGCATGGCTACGAGAGACACGTAAGGAAAATCGAGTGGATATTTTATTTGGAAAATGAATTATATCAATAAAAAAAAAACTCGAAAATTTCGTTTTCTTTTGTTGCCAGCCTTGTTGATGACTCATCAGACATGAAGAGTAATTAAAAAAAATTCAGACAGCAACAGCAAGTGTATGCGAAAGTTTAGATCATTTTCGGCGATAATAACGTTGCTACCTGAACCGATGGACAATTGACATTTAAAAAAAAAGGTTTTTTTTATGATACCCATATTTAATTTGCAATTTATTGACCCTCGTAAGGCTCGGATTGAACAAAATTATAATGACCTATAATTGTAAAACTTAAAATTGTGTTAACAAAACATGAAAGAAAACAGAAATATACCCAAGAGATCGGGGTGAATCCCGTTGAAAAGGGTGAACATGCTTTTATCCTAGATCTCATGTTCGAGCCGGGGAGGAAGGTATTACCGCTAAACTATGGCCACACATTTTACCTCCGGACTATAAAATATATAGTTAGGTCGAAATTTCGGTGAACTTTTTAGATAGTAATAAAAAAAAAACACTGACACATACTCTTCTAAATTATTAGACGTAGAAACATTGCATTACACATATATAATAAACTAGTGTTGCTATTTTAAACAGCCCATGATGACCACGTTTAGATTTTTATCATTCTAAATTAATACATATGATATTATAGTTATCACGTGTCCCTGTCCGAAATACAGCAAGAAAATATCTAACGTGGGCATGTCCATTGTCTTGTTGTAGCAAGAGAGACACGAACTAATGAAGACTTCGGTCAAACGACTTCCATCACTCACAAATCTGTAACTTTGGATTTTTTTTCTCTTTAATAAAAATTTGTATAAAGATACAAAACTGTTTGAATCGGAGATCAATATAGTGGTACGGTTCTCTTAAGATATACATGTGGAATTCAATCTCTGATTTTATGGTTTGTATATTAAATATTACTCGCTAAGATAAGGTCACAAAATCAAATAATTAACCATTTGCAATTATGATTAATCCGAAATGGCAGAAATAAAGATCTGGTTAGAACTTGGATTAGAATTTAGAAATGGAGAACACACCGTACTATGGCGTTTTACTTCCACAGCTCTACTGGGCCAACATGATGGGCCTACCGGGCCCACTTTGTAGGCCTTGGAAGTGAACAAAGCAAGTTGTATCGCACGTGCGGGATATTTAATGTGTGCCGAGTCAAAGTCAACGTATCTAACGTGTCAGTGTCCCAAGCGGTGTGTTTGATAGCCACGTGCGAAATCAAACACCACACGTGTGTCATCTCTAGTTTTCTTTTGTCCAAATCGAAGTCTCTTTCACCGTTAGCCATAAGCAATGCACATTAGTGTTTTTTTTCCTATGAAATAAAAAATATACTTTCAAAATATTTATTATTTTAGATTGTTTCATATTTTTTTTAAAAATAGAACAAAAGCCACATATACCCCTATTTGATGATAAAAATAATACAATCATTATTATTGGAATTTAATAGGAATAAAATTGGAAACTATTATAAAAAATGTCTTGAAAATATAAAACTATAAATATTTTGAAACATAAAAAATAATCTAAAACTACAAATATTTTAAAACGGATGAGGGAGTAGCTACTAGCTATCTCCAAATAATTTTGTATTTTTTAAGGCAAGAGTATTAATATTTATTGTCAAAGAAATTATAACTGCCATAACTGTTATTATGAGAATTCGAATATTAGTAATTATTAAATAAAAAAAAAGAATATTAGTAATTATGCATGTTAGTGAGACATGCGATAGTGAGACAGCCTCACGTGAATGGCCGTATCTTCATTGGCTATAACCCAATCGTGGGTCCAACAAGAACAAAGTACCGGCTGACCGTTCATTGTGTTAGTCAATGCATTTTAATCAGACACGTGGAGAGATCCTAAGGTGATCCTCACGGATCCAACAGTACACCTTCCCACACCTGACAAATATCTTAAAAATCGAATTACGTAATGCAAAGCTTAAAACATGTATATACTGTAATATAATTCTGCGTACATTTGTATATATTATGTATGTATACATATATATATAATTCTCATTTGAAACTTAAACAAATGCGTTATACATTATTTTATTACATGTAAAAACGTTAGATGTCGGATCTATCTACCATAATTCTCTAATTAAATTAATCTAAAAAATATTGAGTGAAGACAAAATCTTTTATCTTATTTAGGAAATTGCAATTCATGTTTACTAATAATAAAGATTGAAACTTAGAAAACTCGAGGAGATTAAGAAGAAGAGCAAAGAGAGAATTGCTCAGGAAACATGAATTGCCTTTTGTACACTGGTTTACATAATTCATCCAACTAAAACACATTAAACCTTCTACCTCGGAAAGAGTCTCTTCATACTGTCTCTTCTCTGCTCTGTTCTCTAGTTACTGTCCCCATTGTTTGTGACCAGGGACCCATTTAGGACACTTGGGGCTGAAGTAACTCGAAACAACCCTCGAGTTCAACAGCTCAACGATCGGAGCAAACTTCACACATCTCGGCGTCTTGTACTGATTGATCGAAGCTCCTAAGCTTATCGCGTAATCCATGAGCTTGTCGAAGGTTCCTGCCTCGACGATCTTGATCTCGAGTGGACCGATGGACTTGTCACTTACCCTTCCTTGTCTGTACACACTGTTCAGTGACTCTTCAATGGTCAAGCAGCAGTCTTCGAAGATGGAAGGAGGGATTGGTGTCTGCCCTTTTAGGGTCAGCTCCCAGAACAAGACATAGTGGCCTGGAACAGTGGTCGTGTCTGCGTAGCTTGTGTACTCCGACAGAGTTGCCTCGAACGGGACGAGGTGTGTCACGGCTTTTTTCACCGCGTTTTGGAGCTCGACCTCGTCTGTCTTGTCTGAATCTATGCTCAGAACCACGTTTTTCCGGCATATGAAGCTGAATTGAGGTGCCTTGTTCTTGAAGCCAGTCACTCTCAGCACATCACCCACTCTGTACCTGTAAAGTCCTGCAAGATTCACAACACAATACACTTAGGTGCCGATCATCTCGATTGAATCTTGAGATGATGGAATACCGTTGAACTTACCCGCGTAGGTGGTGACGACAAGCTCGTATTCCTGTCCAAGCTTGACATCAACAAGATCAACAAGCTCCTTTTGCTCCCTCTCAGTGAGTGACTTCGGAAGATTGATAGAGTTGGTCACCCCGTTGTTCCTATGAACCGGTAAGAACTCGAAGTACGCCATGGTGGGAATGAGCGTGTAAGAAACCTCGCTAGGTTTGCAGATCGGTCTAAGATTCACTCCAAAGTAACATTCGGAAGAAGCATACATTGTGCAGACAAGAGGCAGACCATTGCTGTAGTAATCCAGCGTTTGGATGTACTGCGACATTGTCCCAGTCACGATGACATCGACATACTTTGTGTTAGGCCACAACCGGGTGATAATCCCTTGCCAAGACTCTT